CCTTCAAAATGAAGCCTTCAAATGAAACCTTCAAAATGAAGCCTTCAAAATGAAAAACATGAAAGATGAAAGTCTTCATCTGGCGGCGGGATCGACAGACGTGTGTGCTACGACGACGATCGCGCCCGTGAGAAGCCTCCCCCCGTTGCTCGAAGACAATACATAACTGCGCTCTTTTGTATGGTGTCTACTCCTCTACTCATCGTGCTGTACATCGTATCAGAGCGCACTATCGTGCCGTCGTTGCTCCTTATGCGTCGAGCTCCTTATTAGCGGAGCCTTGCGCTAGCGGCTGACTTTCAAATTTCTACAAGCCGAATCCAATTCCGCCCATCTTCAATCTCCGCGCAGATGACACAACTTAGAGATGACAATATCGCCTCCCGGTCCAGTGCCGATCTCCTCGGGCCTTTCACGTCACCACTGCATAGGTACACCCGACACCTCGGCCCGTTGCAGATTCCATCCTCGCCACCCATCCCCGCCTCGCCCAGCCTGCTGTTCCGCCATGGCAGTAGAGCTTCCCTCGCTCGGCCCGGCGCCGATTCCGCCTGCCTCATTACGAGCCTGCCCTCCATGAAGCCCTAGCGAATGAGCATATACGGTGGAGACTGACAGCAGAGGATGATGGGGGTCACAAGGACAGGTGCAGGAAGAGCTGCGACTCGGGTCTGGAGAGGGCGGTGAAGAAGACGCTCACCTCGAAGGTTACATCAAGACAGCGCCGACGCACGAACCGCTGCCGTCTCCATTCCACTGGTGGAGCTGGTGCGGCAACTGAGAAGGCAATGAGCTCGCGGTAACAAGGGCAGGTGCAGAGAGAGCCGATAGAGGAGACCTTCGCACGACGGAGACAGCACCGCCGGCTTGAAACGCCACCTCCGCCCCCTTGACCGCGCAGGAGGAGCTGGAGGACGAGCGGCGATTACAACAGCAGGCGCAGGAAGAGCTTGCGGCAGCCGCATCATCGTCCAGACAGGCCGCCGGTGAATCACCACCTCCCCCTTCCGACGTCGAATACGTTGAAGATGAGCTGCCACTTCCCTCATCCACCTTTCACTTCTACCATTCACTTCCACCCGCAGCGAGGCCAAGGCAAGCGACTACAAGGGCGGGAAGAGCTGCGGCAATAGAGAGAGCAAACCACGGCGGAGAAGGCGGTCACATCCCCGAGACAGCTAGAGGCTGAGCGTCAAAGTCCACCTCGAAGAGACGACTAGACGAGGCCAAGGCGATTGCGAGGGCAGGCCTAGGAAGAGCTAGCGGACGCTTGCACCACGACGGCGCCGGCAGTGAATCGCCGCGTCCTCTATCCTCGCAGAACAACCTAACCAAGATACTAAAATGCACCGTTATAAGGGTGGATTTTCTGCTCACCAAAACATATCTCAGAACGGCTAGGTAACTTACAGACCGGGGTAGGGTGGATTTACGTAGGGTGGATTTTCCAAAAACCCATAGAATTGCGCCAAATCCAAGTATGTTGTAGAGCGAATTTTTGTGAGCAAGATTGATATGAAGATGATACTAAACAGAGGCCGTGTTGACACAGTATATGTGATAGAAGTGCATCTAGCAGGTTTGAAGTTCCACAGTATACAGACGTAGAACTACAGCATACGAAGCGGCCCGTGTGGCCCGAGCGTTCAACGGGCAAGGCGCGGATTCGCAGAGAAGGCAAGGGGTAATATAACAAGGGTTTGCCATTACAGTACAGCCTACATACGTTAGATTAGGGGGGATGCATATATAGTAGGATATTTGAAGGTGCGAAGAAGATAATTGAGCCATTTTCAACCCATTTCTAACCCGATTTGCACTAACAGAAGCCACACAAGATGGAGGAATCTAGGGGAGGCATTAAGTATTTCTACCATATACTAGAGTGGCAGATTATTGTTTGCAAGGAATGTCAGCACGCCGTGTGGCCACAAGAGGTTCCACGGCATTTACAAGGCAAGCAACACCAGGTTCTATTACAAGCGGCCCGAGCCATTGCCATAGAGGTACAAGAATGGCCTGGAGTAATTCACAATAAGACCGATTTGGCTATTCCGCTATATATCCATGGGCCTATTGCCGAGTTGCCATTATACACTGACGGATTGCAGTGCCGTGTAGAGCCCGAGAGGTGTTCATAGATATTCCGTGATTAGAAGACAATACAAAAACATTGGAGGGAAAAGCACTAATGGTTAGTAAAGTTACAGAAGGGCAGGCCACAATCCACCGACAAACCAAGGATCTAGCGACAATTAAAACAGAACACAAAGAGAGTGTATTGCCAGCGATTTTTTCTAAGCCGCCATGGATCCTAGTACATTGAAATCCGAAATCCAGATGAAGTACGACCCGAGCAGGTATACGCAAGCACAAATGAAGCAGCGTAGGCCCGAGCGTAGAAGCAAGCCAACGAATATTAGGATCAGATGCAGAAGGAGAGTAGTAGTCAGATCCAAAAGGGTGAGAAGGATGAGGTCAGCCTATGGTTAAAGCGCACAGAGTGGATTGAATATTTAGAGGGGTGTAATCTAGAGGATTTATTGCAATCCATTCGAGAGCCTAACACTAACGAGGAGGACGAGCCCGAACCCATTGTAGTAGCCATTTGGCAAGCCATGTCCGAGGTCGCCACACAGAGCTAGGCCACCGTCGAGCGCAGTGGAGTAATGTTGCGATTAGAGGCCATACGGACGGAGATGCACTAGACGCGGTACTACCCATTGCAGCCGTATTAAGACGCCAAATCCATCAAGGACCGTTGTCGTAGTTAGTAGTAGATGTTAATGTTTTTCGTGCGTACGTAGTAGCCACATGAGTAGAGGAGTCCCGCGTATCGATTCAGTAAGCGACAGGCCAAGGCATTTCGAGAGTTAATCGCCGTAGCAGAGGTAGTAGTAGAGGAAGAGGAGGAGGAGGTAGAGGGGGAAGGTTAAGAGTAGGACAGCGAGGATGAAGATGAGAATAGTAACCTATCCGAGTTAACGAGCAACAATCCACCGCTATTGACTAAGATCTAAGCAGCGTGTTTGGCGTTTTGCGTGGAATTGTTAAACTAACGCATCCACAACCGCGAGTACGATATAGCATTAGTGTGTGCCACGGCCGTGTTAGGCGTCTATCCCACACGTAGTGGATTCCGCGATCCTGAGTCATATCCGCCGATTTTGTCCGCTATCATTAAGGTAGCGCATTTCATAGTGGTCTAAACCGCGGAGGAGTTAACGCCGTCGATGACAGACAGCGATGAGTTTAGTCCGTGTGGCAGCCTATGTGATTTCGACGACAGCGGGTACGAGAGTAACGATAGGGGGAGTACCCCGATCCGTCGACGTTAACCACTATAAAGCAGTTTCGAATAGGTCTAGAAGATGATGGACACGTTCATAGTGCGCGGCACAGGCAGTCCTATCTAGTGGTTGTTAGATTTGCGCACATACGGGTTGAAGATCTATTACAACACGTCCGCCATTAGCCACGTCAATTAGAAGGACAAGTACACGTTAGAATACAAGGCGTTGCGGTTTAGCATAGATCAGTTCCGCGGCATAGTGTATCAGTTATGCGCATCCGCGCGGTAGGCGTTGACGGAGGACGTGTTGTTAATGTAGGACGCCACGGGGATCCCTAGTATTCTATAGGACGCGATCCACGATGACCCTACTAACAGAGAGGTCGGGTAGAATTAGATTTAGGATCAGCGGTCGCGATTACCCGTCAATGGATCCGATTGGTTGTATAAACACATCTAGAGCTAGCCTGAGTTACGCGATCGATTCGTATAGAGCGATAGCGCGAGTGGATTCAACCGCGAGCGCGTGCGGGATTACATGCAGGGGATCGCGCGGTTTCGAGGGTTGTTGTTAATATTAATACACATCACGGGTAGGCAACCCGCGAGAGGGACGGAAATATTGAGCGTCCGCCATCGAAATACTGTCGCAGGAGGGCACCGCAATTTGTTCGTAGAAGATAGGACCGTGGTGTTCGTGACCAAGTACCACAAAGGGTATCAGATAAGCGGAGATGTGAAGATTATCTATCGATATTTGCCGCGAGAGGTAGGGGAGTTAGTGATGTGGTATTTGTGGTTAGCGTTACCATTCATCTAGCGGATCGAGGCGGTAGTGTGGCAGAAGAAGGGCGCGTCCGATCACATGTGGCCCGCCGACGTAGACGGTAAGAAGTGGACTACCGACTACATAAAGGAGGAGTTACAGCGGGTAAGCAGCGCGGCGTTAGGGCAACCCATCCACGTGGCCGCGTACCGCGAGATCGCCATTACTATCAGTCGATAGTGGGTGCGGGGGGCGACCTAGTTCTAAGGGGACGAGGGGGATAAGAATGCGGAGTAGCAGAAGGAGAATATGATAGGGGAGGCGGCCGACGAGCAAGCGGCGCATTCACCACACGTCGCCGGATTGATATACGCCCGAGAGAGCATGGAAATGTCTAGAGCGATAGGCGACAAACGCTAGCAGTTTCGCGCAGTTAGTACGGATTAGCATCGATTTTTAGGGTTCGAATCGACGCAGATCAAGGACGAGAAGACGGATTTGAAGCGGAGGCAGTGCCTATTCGAGTACGACGCAGAAGCGGAGCAATTCTATCGACGGGTACGGTTGCGATAGATAGACGCTATGCAAGAGTTAGGGTTAATGATAGGGGAGAAGGCGACGTTCCGTAGCGTCTAGAAGGAGGCGATAGATGCCATCTAGCGTGGCGAGAGTCCCGTGGTCGCTATCATACCGACCGGCGCAGGAAAGAGCGTGTTGTTCATGTTACCCGCGTTTATAGAGCCCGAAAGTGTTACTGTCATAGTAGTACTATTGCGGGCGTTGCGTAAGGACATGATTTTTCGATGTGAGAGGTTAGGGATCCGATGCGGCGTATAGGATGGTAGAGCGGCCGTGGACAACGCGTCCATTGTGTTAATCACACCCGAGAAGGCGACTAGTGCCGAGTTTGGCACGTATTTGAACCGGATCTGACAGACGCAGCGATTGGATCTAACTGTATCTACATTGGAGTTTTTAAAAAACTCCATAGAAAATCTACTAAAACCTCCAAGTTTTTTTAAAAAGTAAAATATAAATGGAGTTTTTAAAAATATTAGTTTATAAAGATAGGATTTATAAAGTAAAGAGATTAAAAGAATAGATTTTATAAAAACTCCTTTAGTATTATAAGAATTTAGATCTATTTATTTATTTTAGTTTAAAGAAATCTAATAGACTTAAAAAGTTAGAAGCTAGTTAAAGTACATTCGAAAACCCTTTTAGCTTAAACTTTAAATAAATTTAACTATAATAGTTTCTTTTAATATTATTTTAGTTTTATTTAATTAATAAAAGAAAACAGAAAGAAAAGAAGAATAAGTACTTATTTAAAAGATTAAGATAAGAAAAGTTAAAAAAAAACTTTAATAAAACTAAAATAGTTATTTTAAGTAATTAAAGTGTTTTAAGTTTATATTAGAGTTTAACTAAGAGAAAAAGAATATATAAGAAAGCTCTTTTTATTTTATCTTTGTCTTTTCTTTTATATCTACTTTAAACTACTTTAATTATAACTAACTATTTAAAAATGGATTTAATTACTTTAAATCAATTACTTATAAATAATAAAGATTATATTAAAGGAGATTCTTATAATAATTCTACTATTATAGAAAGTACTTATACTAATAATATAGAGAATACTATTCTAAATTATAATATAGAAATTAAAGTTTTATTTTGTACTATTTGTAAAACTAATCTAGATAGAAATAACTATTTAAAACATTTAAAAGATAAACATTTTACTATTTATAAAAGTTATAAAGAATCTTCTAAATTAGAAGTACTTAAAACTAATATAGAAGAACTAGAATTTAATGACTTAGCTAAATTAGAAGATATTTTAAAGCCTAATCTATTTTACTTTAAAGAGTTAGATTTAAATTTAAAAGGATATAAATGTATAGAATGTAATTATATTAATATTAATTATAAAGAAGTTAGAATTCACTTTAATACTAATCACTTTAATAGTAATAAAAGTAGTAAATCTAAAGTAAACTATATTATAAATCAGGTTCCTTTACAATATATTAAAGGTAATAATAAAAATACTAAACTATACTTTATACCTAAAATACCTAATATAAGTAAAAAGAATACTAGTACTAACTTATATATTAACTCTAATAGTTCTAATTCTAGTATAGAATCTATTACTTCTAAAAAGTCTAATAGTTCTAAAGAACTAGATTTAAAAGAAGATATTATAAAAGATTATCTTAAAGAGAATTTAGAAGAGAATAAACTAAATAATAATATAAATATTAATAATAATAGACTTTTAAACTCTTATATTAAGAAATCTAATATTTATATCTTTTTAAAAGATAAAGATAGAGAGTCTTTAGTAAATCTAGTATATAATATTAAAGAAGAAGATAAAGATCTAAGTGTTTTTAATAGAATAGACTATAATAAATTAGAAGATATTATTATAGATTGTTTACTTTATATACATTCTAAAATCACTAATATAAGCTTAGGATTAAGACAAAAGCTAAATCAAAATAATAGTAGTAATACTAGAGTATTTAAAGACTTTATACCTTTAGAGAATAAGTCTACTACTAAGACTTACTTTACTTATTATGCTAAACTACTTAGCTTTATTATTAAAGTACGTTATATTAAAGGGAAATATAAGAATACAATAGGTAAAGAAAGAACTTACTTTGATTTAGTAAAGAACTTTACTATTAACTTAGAAGCTAAAGAAGCTTTAAAGAATATTATTCCGTTTAACTTAGATTTAATAGATTTAGAAGATAAAGAACTAACTAAAGAGAAAGAAGAGTTTTATACTTATATTATAGAGTTTTACATTAGTTTACTTAAAGATAATACTACTTTAACTTTAGATAATAATACTAGTTTAAATAATATAGTTCTAAGCTACTTCTTTATAACTAATCTAGATATTAATACTAAAGAGATTAAAAATATAGATCTAATAGGAAAGCTTACTAGTTATATTCTTTATAATAGTAAACTACTTACTATAGGATATTTCTACTTTAAAGAGTTAAATAATATAAAGTATACTTATAATGATTTTAATGATTTTCTTTCTACTTATTTAACTAATAGTTCTAATAATTACTTTGAATTCATTAGTATTCTAAGGCCTTATCTCTTAGCTTTAAATAAAGAAAGAGAATCTACTAATTATATTATAAAAGAAACTAGTTTAAATATTATAGAATATAATACTATAGAGTATTCTATTACTAAGATTAAAGAGCTCTTTAAGAATGTTTATATTAATTTAGAAGATATTTTACTAAAGAAGCTTTTAAAGATAACTTCTATAGATTCTTTAGATATAGACTTTAATACTATAAATGATAATACCTTTATAAGTAATATAGATTATTATATAATAGATACTTTAGAATTAAAATATCTTAAAACTAATAGGCCTTACTTTTTAACTCAATTATTAACTAAAGGAACCTATTATAATAAAACACTATTAAAAGATATAAAGAAAGATACTAAGACTTTAAGATTTAAAGATACTAATATAGAAATATTTAATACTAATATTAATAGGTTTTTAGAATACTTAACTCTCGCTATTTATTTATATAGCGGAGGTCCTTTAAGAGGAACCGAATTAACTACTATACTTTATAAGAATATAGAAACTAAAACTAGAAGTCTAATATATAATAAAGAAGATAATACCTTTATAATTTCTACTAATTATAGTAAGACTAATAATATTACTAGGAAGAATAGAACAAATATACGCTATTTACTGCCTTATTTAAGTAAACTATTAATTATATACTTAGTATTAATAATACCTTTTAAAGATTACTTATATAAAACCTACTATAACTTTAAAGACTATTCTAGTCCTTATCTATTAACTAAAGATAATAAAGTAATAGAAAGTAATACTATTAGTAGGATCTTAAAGAGAGAATCTAGTTTATTATTTAAAGAAGGTTTAACTATTAAATCTTATAGAAAGATTATTAATTATATAATTAA